TGATTTCACTGTGAAGTATATTCCAGGGAGAGAAAATCATGTGGCAGATTCTCTGTCACGTATTCAAATTGAAGAATGTAATTTTGATGAAATTCCATCTGATATTGCTACCATTCATTCTACATCAGATAGTCAAAACTTTATCCCAATTGCGGAAAGACCACTCAATGTCTTTAAAAGACAGTTGAGATTAATAAGATCTAATGAAAATAGTACACATGTAGAGCATATATTCAAAAATTGTGTTACCACAATTAAATATATAGAATTAAATACTGAACAAACAAAAGACATTATAAAGTCATTTTTACTAACTAATACCATGGCTATTTTTATGCCAAATAATGAAGACTTTTTAAGATTTCAAAATATTTTCAAAACCTTGGTTTGCAATAGACGTCATAAGATTCTGAGAGCAAGTAAGGAACTGGAAAATATCCTTAATTACACCGACTTTAAAACTAAAATTCTTGAAATCCACTTAGAAGGACTTCATCAAGGAATTGAAAAAATTATATATCAATTCAAGAAAAGATATTATTTTCCTAACTATTTTAAAGAAATTACTAAAATCATCAATGAATGTGATTTGTGCAATCGATGCAAATATGACCACGTTGCAAACAAAATGCCATTTAAAATCACTCCTCCAGTTTACGAAATTAGAGAAAAATATGTGATAGATTTCTGGGAATGGGAAAAAAAACATTTTCTAACATGTACAGATTTGTACTCAAAATTCAGTACAATTGAAGAAGTACAAGCATTAAATTGGCTAGAAACAAAGAGAGCTCTTATTAAAATATTTAACACAATGGGACCTCCTAAAGTATTGAAAATTGACCAAGATCAAGGCATTAATAACGTCAATATCAAAGAATGGTGTAATGAATTAAATATTAAAATAGAAGTTTGTACTGGAAAAACCGGTATAGCAGACATTGAACGTTTCCATAAAACCTTGAATGAAAAACTTAGAATAATTAACACCTCAGATGACAGCGAACTAAAATATGTTCAATTCGAACAATCCGTTTTCACATATAATCACACCATAATACATTCTACTACTGGTCAAACTCCATATAACATATTTTTTAACCGATTACCTCCAGAATTTGACTCACAACTCATTAAAGAAAATAGAATTAACAATTTAAATAAAACACGAAAAGAAAATTCGATAAATATTGGTTTAATCAACGCTGAAAATGTGAGAAAACGTCTTGATAAAACAAAAAATCCATTTAAGCAAGTAGCATTAGTTCGAGCCGATAGTGACAATGAACACTTTTTAGTTAAATTCAAAAACAAGAATATAAGAAAATATAAAAGTCAATTTAAACGAAAAAAAAAATTTTAAAATAGTCACAAATGAAATTGTATTGTATAAATTTATATCGATTAAAACGAATACTGTTATTATAATCATCTCTTATAAAATATATTTGTAAACTATTAAAATGGATTAAAAAAAATTAAAATAGATTATATTAATATAATTAACGTATATTTTAAAAAAAAAAAAGAAGAAAATTTGAAGAAATTAATGTCATAAATGAAATTGTATTTTTTTTATTATTTTTATATATTGTATTGTATAAATTTATATCAATTAAAACAGATATTATTATTACAACTATCCTTTATAAAATATAATATAAAATATTATAAAATATATGAAATATTATGTGTATTTAACGCAATAGGAATATTGCTTATTTTTAAGGTGGGAGGAGTGACATTAAGCTCTCTCCCAACATCATTAAATTGAACAAAAAAGAACTTGCTGCGCTAAGCAGGTAAAACCTTTTTTTTAGTCAGTAGAAGTTAAGCTTGCATCGTGCAAAGTACTAATAAAGTTTTTATATAAAAAATAAAAAAATCGTTTTTATTAAAAATTGTCACTTATATATATATATATACATATATA